AATTATACTCTACCACAGTGCACAAGTTCTATTCTTATATCAACAGAGTAATTTAACCACATTCTATGCATGTAATTATTTAGGTCTTCTAACCCTTACAATAAAACTCATCTTTCCTGAACCTAACTCTAACGTGAAAAAATATCCCTAAACTAACCGTAATCTAACTCGAACCAACCTTAATTTCGCCTTTATTGGGCTAACCTAACCCTAACTTGTCCTTGGCTTAAACCGTAACTTAATCTTTCCCAAACCTAAGCTCAAACTTCCCAGATATCCTATTTAATACCATGTCACTTCGATGAGCACATTTTATTGATGATGACAACATTATTTGCCAGGTTTCACGAACTTGCTTAGTGAACGATTCAAGGGCACTGGTGCGGTCGCACTCCATTGGTAGTTAGTGGTGCTTAAAGTTTAACTTGGCCAAATTGGGCCAGTTTCTTTAAATCTAGTAAAATATGACCTCTAATAGTATCGTTTACTCTGGCGAGTATTTAAAACATTTACAACCTGCTGATTCGTAAGTTTCTACCATTAAACGTGAGAGGAAAAGCATTATCCTTGATGGCTGCTTATCCCGATACATGAGGTGACCGTTCCGCAGTGTTGTCCTTAGTTCACCAAAATATACTCCTGAACTCCATTACGGATAAAATTTTTTTTAATTACAGCTTGATTCCACACCGTATTTTTGGTACAAGTATGAGATTTTCAGCATGTGATATCGGTAGCCCAAATTTTGCAGGCCAACCATTGATATCAGGTATGCATCGGCCGGGAATCGAACTCCTGACCATGCGTATGGTTGGCGAGTGTCCTAACCGCTGTGCCACCGACGCAAAGTGTTGTACAGTAATATTTACTGATGACGTAAGTTTAGAGCATAATTTATTGATGTTCATAATCATATCGAAGTACTCATACAACTTTGTTGTGTACCATAATGGAATTACCGTAGAATCACTAAATAACTGAAAAGACGAGTGTTACCTACATTGAAATCAAGGAATAGAAATACTAATAATAATTACGATTATGTGAATTCAGGAGACCGGAGCAGATTTTCCATCTATCAGACCGCTTCTTTTCACATTCCTCTGAGTCCCAAGTAGACCATAAGGATTCAAACTTCGATGTTTTAGTAGCGGTGCTGATGTCTCTACAGAGTGGGATCAGCAGATTAACGCCAAATCTTTCCGAGTTTTTGAGCTTATCGCCGGTTATTAAACGAAGTGAGACTTAGGAAGTGTGTCAATTACGGGTCGAACCTGGACATCTTATGTGTCTGGAGAACATTTTATTATCACTGAACCATAGAGGCATCATGCACAACGTCATAAGTCACAACCATCGTATAAGAACGGACGAACGGTAACTAATTTAGTTGTTGCATAGACTGAAGTAGGCTGAGCAGGACTCGAACCTAAGACACATTAGCTGAAAGACAAGTAATTTAGGCCAGTGAAGCAAATCTCATAAATGTATACTAATCAAAATAATTTACGAAAAAAGAGATTGCAATTGACATGAATACTCAATTCGTAGCAGGATTCTATGATATTTCAATGGTGGAATTCTCTCCCTCCGGATGCGATTCCAGGCCGACGCATTCCTGGACGTGAGGCCGGCAATTCCACTCCATATAGGGATCAAAACACTACCGTTACTGAAACTTTAAAGCTTGGAGCTCTGTACTTCACTCGAAATGCAAAACTACAGGATTCGAACTAATGCCACCTACCTGTCCAGCGATTAAGGATGTAAAATATAAATATTCTAGCCTAGTAATCATACTACTTAAAAACCGGGAACAGTAGTGTGTTTAGCTACATACAAAGGAATTGGATCTTTTAACAGATCACAAAGTTCAAGTAAAAAAAGATAATAATCAGGCTTAGCAGCCCTTATAGGGATTAAAATCAAAGTCTACTGTATACAGTCTAAGTGTGGACGCCCCTGATGAGATCTAGCCGATAAACACCTGAGAGAAGTCAGAGCACAGTATTTATTATTATTATTATTATTATTATTATTCCAGTGGGTTCAGAGTGGAACACAGGGCTCCAACAATACATCTCCACTTTATTCTGTTTTATGTTATCCTCTTTAGCTGGGCTCATAATTGCCCATTGTGTCTCATCTCCTCCAACATACACGATCTCCTCCTGCGTCGGTGGCACAGTGGTTAGGACTCTCGCCAACCATGCACATGGTCCGGGGTTCGATCCCCTGCCGACGCACACCTGGTATCTATGGTTGGCCTGCAAACTTTGGGCTACCGATACCGCATGCTGAAAATTCCATACCTGTACCAAAAAGTACGGTGTGGAATCAAGTTATAATCAAAAATAATCAAAAAATCATGTCACCCCCTGACAGTCGCCCACCTCATCGTTTCCAATTCGAGTCCCACTCGAGTGATGGTCTGCAGTGAGTGCGATGTCATTCTACGGTTCCTCAACACGTGTGCCCGATCCATCGCCATTTACTCCTAAATATTTGTTTAGTCATTGATTTTCGATGAGTTTGTCCCCACAGTTTCTAGTTGCTAATTCTTTCTGGCTGGTTTGCCATTTGATCGTCATAATGGAGCCAGATAAAAAGGCAGCTGTTGATAAAAGTTTGCAGTAGTAGGCTATTCGAAATGCTTATTGTAATGCTGCACACTTCAAGTTGCTTACCCGTCTAGGAGAACTGACTTGACATCTGTGTTGAAAATCCGAATCCTGTTTTTTGTGTTGAGTTAGTGCAAGAGATTTGCAAACTGACTTCAGAGTGAGAAATATCTGTGTTCCGCCAGCCAGGAACCGAAAAAATGTCCGTATAAGACCTGGACGTCGTCGGTGATTTATGCCTTGTGGTTCACAAACTCGAATATTTACAAGTGAAAGTCGAAAAGCCAGAAGAACAGGCACCGAAAACATGACACAGAGAAGACGAAGGTGATGCTTATAGACAGTCAATAACAATAACAAGCACGTATCACCAACAGCAGGAGAAAACTAAAAGGGTATCCTGTTTCACCCATCTAACCCAGGCAAGCATCGCTTCAACTACAGGTGGCACGGATGTGGATATCAAAACCAATATGGAACAAACCACCAATGAGGAACAGTCCAGAGACTTTCCACGACCACAGGATTCTTAGCAGACCATTACACACTTACATTAATAGTTGCCTACACCACCTCAATACTGAAAATCATATGGCCAGCTGGAAAGAAGAATAAGTATAACGAGGAACTATGACAGCGAACCAGACAACACCTTATAGACCAAAACATACTCAGAAAGAAATGGAGATGGATTGGAGACACACAGTCAGGAGACCATGGAGTAATATCAAACAGCAGGTTGATCCTGAAGTTGAACTCCAATGGGAAACTAAGAGGTCGGCGTGCAAGTGTTATATAGGATAGATTATGTGAAGAGGAAATCCAAGCTTTTGGGTAGTTGCCAAGTCGTCTGAAAGTGATTAGAGAAAACGGAATACTATGCGCATGTGTTGCTGACGCTCCATGTTCCATTCACAGCCCAAAAGACGAAGAGTAACATAATAATAATAGTAGTACAAAGATTCTAACTTATACATCTTGCTGACAATTGGCAATAAGCAGGGAACATAAGAGTTTGAGGGTTTTGTCCTCAACCCAGAAGTAATATGGAAACCGAAGTACATAAAGGAGTAAGACAAGGCAACCAGTCTATTATCATCGATGATATTCTTAATTGTAATGGACTAGATTATGCATCAGACTGTGCATAGGCAGCCAGGAGACAGAAATACGCTGGACGATGGACGAGAAGACTCCGGAAGATCTGGATTTCACGTGTGGATGATATATGTCTAATGTCACAGAAACTCGAAGGCTTGCAAGCGAAAACCAACAAACTGTCTGAAGAAGCAGGCAGCAAAGACAGGACAGCAGGTGGACATGGAGAAGACGGAGGTAATGAAGATAACCAACGAAGCTCAACAACAACAATAATAACAGCCAGCACCAATCGCTATCGACGGGAGAGATTTAACAGAGGTTACCTCCTTCACTTATCTAGTAAGTATCGTTTCAACTACAGACAGAACGGATGAAGATGTCAAAATCGGAATAGGAAAGGCAAGATACACCCTATTTTTATTTTATTTTGATTACAGCTTGATTCCACACCGTATTTTCAGTACAAGTATGGAATTTTCAGCATGGATATCGGTAGCCCAAATTTACAGGCCGACCATATATATCCGGTGTGCGCCGGCAGAGGATCGAACCCCGGACCATGTGCATGGTCGGCGAGAGTCCTAACCACTGTGCCACCGACGCACACCACCTTCATCAACCTGAAACCAGTTCGGCAATCTTCTGCAGTGCACTGAGCATAAATAACAAGATTCGCATTTTCAACACAAATGTGAAGTCGGTTCTTCTATACGGGTCAGAAACTTGCACTGCGTATCACGAAAAGAATTTCCAACAGGCAACTGTAGACTTTCATCAACAGCTGCCTTCGCTGGCTCCTTACTGAAGATCAAATGCTCGGCAAGAATAAGCAACAGGAAACTGTCGGAACAAATCAACCAAGAGCCGACCGCTCGACAAATATGTAGGAGAAAGTGGAGATGGCTAGGGTATACATTGAGGAGGCCGCCGAATGACATTGCACGCAATGTAGGCCATTTGCTCGAGCGGAATCCGAATGGGAAGGGACGACTGGGTCGTCATTGCCAAGGTGACATGGAGGAGGTCGTGTGAGGAAGAGATGAGAGAGTATGGTCAATCGTGCAGCTGAAGAGGATGGCAGAAAACAGAACAAAGTGGAGATATGTTGTTGAAGCCCTATATTCCACTAGGAACGCAAGGGAATAATAATAATAATGAGGGTTTTGTGCGTAGCAGAAATTTAAATCCTGTAATTGTGAATAGTGAGTTTAAATTCATTACACATACATGCACATACACAGAAAAAAGGATAATATAGTAAATCTAAAAGAAACTTACCACTATATTATTATTACTACTATTATTTGAATTTGAAATACCAGCTTCTTCTGTTGAAGGTTTTTCTTCGTCTTGACAATCTTCTACTGATTGCCAAGATTTTGTAGATGACTCTAGAAGATTCTTTGGTAGTCGATCACAGTCAATAACAGTAGCATCATTAACAGTTGTAGTACACTTTTGTACTTCAAGACGACTTTCAAGAACCTAGTGGATAAAGAAAGACAATGAGGAGAACAAACAGGTGTGTTAAGATTAACAAACACAATGTGGTTAAAAATATTTTGTGATAAATAGAAATTACTTTGACAAACCAGTGTATAACTAATTCTGCACACATATGAAAGTGTCATAATGAAAAAGAGCACAAAAACTGACACAAACATTATTTGATCAAAGATCATATCGTCAACATTAATTCAAATGAAAGTCAATATCACTCATTCTCCTATAACTAATCAATATAGAGAGATAAATTTTATCATAGCAGAACTCAATTATCACTCAAAAATACAATTAATCAACCAATATTGAATCAACTCTCAATGTTACAGTTCAACAACTATTTGCATTTCCATGTAGTTAGAGTTGTCAGTGTGGCAAATCTGTTGTCGAAAGGCTAGTAATACTACTATAAGGCACTACACAATGCTCTCAATGTGTGTGTGTTTGGGAGGAGGCGGCAGAGTTTGAACTCACCACCCATTTTTTGGAAGTCAACTGAATAGACTGATAAAGCCACAGCTCCAGATAAAACAATAAAGGTTTTTGTATTTCCCAATGAATGAAAAACAGATATTGTTTTACTGACGTTTCGCTATTTAATGCTAGTTGTGTCTATAAAATAAAATGCTTGGAATGTGATGCGATATACATCGGACAAACATCACCAGAGAGAAATTAAAATCGGAAGAAATGAACACCGTAGAGCATCTCTTCGACCACCAAGAAATCCCGTTGAACTACAAAACTTGAAAAATCATCAACCATAGGTCTACATACTACGCTATAGAATGAGGCCACAAAATTGATTTTGACAATATTGAAATAATCCAGAAAAACTTCAGAAATCACAAAGAACGTCTAATATCAGAAGCACTTCATTTCAAGTGGAATCCAAATTGTCTGAATAGGAATGATGGACTAAAACAGAATCTGACCTGGTTACAACATCCTCCTCCCCCATGAAGTGGCAAAATCAACACGAATGTGATAAGCAAGTTTAATGTGTAAACACACTGCTTTTATAACTTTACACACTGATCAAATCCAACAATCTACACTTGTTTTTGATTTTGTTATCTTTACCAATTGACCAACTTGACAACGAAAAATGACCCCAGACTGACGAACGATGATCAAGTTAGTAAACTTTGTTTTGATATCATAACAGACGTACTATTACCTTTGTTATTTGGTTTAGTGATCTTCATTGTTATTTTGACTTTCAATATGTCCTCTTAACTTGACCTAAGTCTATTTTCTCACCCCCCAACTGTTTGTTATATATATGCTGAGATTTTGTAAATGCCGGTTTAATAATACTTTGATAAAGCTATAAGCAGCATTAAATAGCGAAACGTCAGTAAAAACAATATCGTTTTGCTTTTCATTCATCGGAAAATACAAAAACCTTTATTGTAATGAATAACATATACCCAATGCCCAAATGTTTTCAAACTGTTAAAAGTGAACTTGGTTTGGACATATATTAACCAGATAAAACAAGTTACCTGGAATAGATTTCTCATGCACCAGGGTAATTATACGAAACGCACACATTGTAATCAAAACAAAATGATTTGGAGCGAACAATTGTGGTTACAATAAATTCTTCTTCAGGCTCTACACAGTTATAAATCCATGAATATTACAATACAAATGGCAATTGAAGGCATGTGAAAATTATATCGAAAACTGTACCACAGCAGTGAGTTTTATTCAACGGTGTGCGAGAAAAATGATTACTACAAAATACAAATGAACAACAAACTTTTTTGTTTGTTTTTTTGGTTACAGCTTGATGCCATAACGTATTTTCAATACCAGTATGGAATTTTCAGCATGGATATCGGTAGCCCAAATTTCGCAGGCCGACCATAGATTTCGGGTGTGCGTCGGCAGGGGATCGAACTCCCGACTATGTGCATGGTCGGCGAGAGTCCTAACCACTGTGCAACCGACGCACAAATGAGAAACACTGAATGTAAAATTCAAGTAATGGCTGACAGATATCAAGTGTAGCGATCATACAAAGAGGTGTAGCGGTTAGCACTTAGGACTTTAAATACAGCGACTCGAGTTCGCGTCTCAGAGAGGCGTCCAAACATGGCCTAGTTAACTAGCTTGCTAGTTTTCTAGCCGGTCCCAAGCCCAAGTAAACAGGGAGGGTTGGGTGTGGGGCTAGCAATCCTACACTGTTAAATCTAGCAAACCGCTAGAAAAACTTCAACGCACAGAAAATATATTGAAAATACAAAAACTTCAAATAACACTGTTATTCTGTGCTCGAATCGGAGAGGTGAAATGACAAAGCAAGCTGGTGAAGGTCCACCTTCAGGAGGCCAGTCAGCCAGACGATGTGTCTTCTCTCGATGAAAGCCATAATAAGAATGAGGAAGTCGAATGTCTGTACAGTGTATGAGGCTGGCTGGGAAGGCTGCTGTTATGTATGTGAATATGAGGACCTTGTAGACTACGAGCGAATCTAACTAATGCGCTGGCTAATCTGTCTTAATCGCACGTCAACAACAACAACAATACCGCCGGGCACGCAAGACAAATAGAAGAGAAGACTGGACGTTGATATGAGAGCTTTTACTGTCTCAAACAACAGTCGAAAATGTTAAACAACAACTCCGTATTTATACAATTAGAAAAATCAATGTCACATTTTAAAAATATTAACGACCTTGGAGATTCAGTAATTTAAATCAATAATCACGCAGATGCGTGAAATCAATGATTATGCTAATGTGTGAAATAAATAATGAATATTAATGCGTATATATTACCTCCCCCTTTT